TGTAATTTTTTCATCTTCTTTTCACTTAGGCAATTCCTAAATTCACTGTTTTCTATACTCTGGAACGCCCCTTCATCCAACGTGACCGCCTTTAGAATCATGTTTTTACTTTTACTGGTGTTTGTTATACTGATTGTATCTTTTGCTAGATTGTGTGCTCTAAGTGCAGAATGGTGTTTGCCCATTTACCACTGCATACTAATACCTGGGGTGAAGTTTGGCATGCAATATTTGCTAAAAAATGCATGTTGAGTAATAGATTAATGCAGGAAGCTTGCCTCACTATTAGACCAAACTTTATCAAAGGGGAGGAGATTTTAAATGATTTAAAGTATAATACAGACTCTGAAAACTGCCTGGATTTGAGGCTCAGCTTTCTGAATTGTACATATATCCTTCCTCTCTACTGTGGCAGATTCGACATCTCTGCTCCCCGGCCTCTGCAAGTGCCCTACATTGGCCCCAGTGTGTGCAGCTGCCTCTGACCAGGCCAGGCTGGGAGTGGCCAGTAGAAGGCAGAGTGTACCTATGGCCATTAGGGGGCGCTGTTGGGAAGAGAAAAGTATTCCCAGTGGTTTCTATAGGAGAGCAACCAGCTGGGGAATGAGGAGACCGTACAGCTACCTGCTTTTTCCAGCATTTCCAGGAGAGAAAGAAGAGCAAGAGTGGACAAGTCCAGATATGCTGCCCATGGACCAGTTGTTCTGAGGTTAACCATGGCAGTGGGGTAGAAAAAGTGGGAGTATCCCTGAGTATCCCCCCTGTCTGAGCTGGGATCTGCCAGTTCATGTGCCACAGGACCTGCCTGCTCATCTAGTGACCCTTCCCCATACCCATGGTAAATGGGGCTCTGAATGGGACCAGCACCTGGGCACTAACCCCTCTGGGACGGCAATGTTACAGAACAGTTGCTGGTGCTATAAAATCTTCCAGCAGAGGGAGCTTAGCCCGCTTTCCCTCTGTCTCCAGCATCATGTCTCGCACACAGGCATGGGATTAGGGCAACCAGTCATCTCAGCTTGTCAGGGTGAGTGGGTCCCTAGGATGCAGGAATTTCATGTGAAAATTGGGACAGCCCCAGACAAACTGAGATGAGTTGGTTGCCTTATTAATAAGAGAGGTTCCCAGGTGACTCCACAGATTAGAATTTTCCTTTGTCCTTGTCATCCACACATAGGCAGTTTTAGGGGGGGCATAGACCTCCAGGAATAGAGCAGGTGCATGGAGCCCAAGCGACAGGCACAGGGACCTGCCTTCCTGTATACCTAGGAAATGGGCTGGACATCATGGAAGGCTCTCTGGAGGAGGCAGCTCTGACACAAGACATGTGTGGGGGCGTGATTCCTGGGTTGGAGAGCGGCAGGCTGAAGGAGGCTGAAGTGGGTTGTTGGGTGGAAAAAGAGGTGGGTCCCTTGGGCACAGAGGAGGAAGGAGACCCAGATGACAAAGAAACAGAAATAAAGGGGAAAGAGGCTAAGATGGACTCCCGCTGAGAAGACTGGTCCTGGAAGGCAGTGAGGAATTAACCTACGGTGCTGTTTAAAGCTGAAACATTGGTGGTTTCCCCAAACATATTAGGAAAGCTCCAAACTGGGGGAGTTACTTCCCATCACTGGCTTGTCCTTCAAGTTGTTGGTCACATGGTCTTAAAATTTGGGCCCTCCAAAGAGCTTCCCAGGAGTATTCTAGAAGCCTGTAAACCTTCTGTGTCCTGACTTTGGGGAATACCTCCAGTTCATGGGGTACTGCTTCTATAAGCAGCCCCTGCCACCATCAAACGGATCTCATTCATAAGGAAATTCTTAAACTGAACCAGAATTCATAACATCTGCCCATGGGTCCCAACTCTGCTATGGTTTGAACTCATGTGAGAGACAAAGCAAGAAGGTTTAGAGGAGAGATGATTGGGTTACGAAAGCCCTAGCCCAATCAGTGAGTTAGCCCCCTAATGGGATTAACTGAGTGGTAACTGAAGGCGGGTAGGGTGGGCGGGAGGGGTGGTCACTGGGGGTGTGGCCTTGGGGTATGTCTTCTCCCCCTGGCAAGTGGAGTCTCTCCCTGCTTCCTGATCCTCATGGGAGCTGCTTCCCTGCCATGATGTTCAGCCTCACCTCCAGCCTTGAGGTATGGACCTCGGAAACTGTGAGCCCCCCAATACACTTTCCCTCCTCTACAATTGTTCTGGTCAGGTCTCTTAGTCACCGAAGTGAAACAGCTGGCTAAAACCTTGTCCTTTGGCACATCACAGAAACCAAAGGCACTAGAAATATTTGAGGACAACTCTCATGCTCCCCAGGATATTTTCTTCTTTCAGACTAAATAATATTTCAGCAGTTTCTGAGATGGAGATCTTGCAGGCCATTGTGCCACTCGTTGGCCCCTCCCATGCTGTCACGGGGCTCTAGAGAGGGCAGGGTGCCGCGGCCCAGGGGGTTCTTCATAGACTCCTGTTGAATGGATGGGTGAATCCATGTCGCCCTCCTTTGAACTTGTGTCCATCTGGATTTCTCTCTCTCTTGGTCCGCGGAGCCCACGGTCCGCTATTGATCGCATACTGGATCAGCTGTCAGCTAGAACCTTTGACATCTGGGACTCTCCTGGTAACGCTCCTTCCCCCTTAAGGGCTCCAGCTGTCACCGGTGGCCTCTGGACTTTGTAGCTGAGGTCTGAGTCCATGTCATTAGGGTCCAGACCCCCGCAGCCGCAGTCTGGGCAGGGGCTGGGTCAGAGCTCTGTGAGCGCAGGGAGGTGGGGGAGTTCCCAGGACGGCTGGCCGCTATCTGCCATCAGCAGGCCCGTCCCCTTCCATCTGCTGAGGCCTCCTCCGTAATCACCAGGTTGCTCCTCTGTCTGACACGGCCAGACTCTCCCTGCCCATCATCTACACTTCTCTCCACGGTGCTTGTGAGATCTTGGGCTCCAATCTGTCTTTCGTGTCAGAGAACAAGGACATTTTTGGGGCTTGAGCTAAGCTAGAGGCTGGGTCTATGAGCCTCCCTTAGCCCAATCAGAGGCTTCACTGATAGGAGAGTCTCTGTGGAGTAGCTGGGCCCCGAGGAGTAGCTGCACCCTGGGAGCAGCCAGGTCCTGGAGAGCCACAGGCTTATTCGGAGGTTGGAAAATGAATGGAAAAAGCAATTCCCACCAGCCAGGGAGGCCGGAGAAGAATGACTCAGGGATTTGAGATATCCCGGAGATTTGAGGAAAGGTGTGGCCTGCAGAAGACAGAGCTTTCGGCTCTGCACAGGGATGCCGGCCCCCTGGCTCACCATCTCCAGCACCCGGAACGGGGCCTGGCATTTGGCGAGTGATCCGGGAACTTGTGGGGTGGAGGAATGAGCCAATGAGGAGACAGTTACTGTGAATGGCTTCTGTGTGTCATGGGCACTTCTGTCAGGCAAGGAAGGGCTCTGTTGAGGAGCCATAGCAACGTGGTTTCATCATCCCTGGCTTTATGAGGCCAGTCAAACCCCTGAACCAGACCAGCGGAACTCCCTGAAGCCGCTGTTAGGGTTCCCTTAGAGGATGTCCCCAGGGCGCAGGGCCTGGCCCGGCCACCCGCAGACTCAGTGAGTGTGGGATGCTCCGTGCTGCCTTTTGAAACCTTCCCCCACAGAGTGCCACGGTTCTGTCTTATTCCAGAATAATCTCTAAGATGGGGAGGCC